TCCCATGTGGGGTGATTTCTCTCTTTCTCTCTCTTTGTCCTTTTCTGTCTCTCTGGCAGCACACACATCCTATAGCAAACAATTTCTCTAAAAAAGAAAAAAAAGAAAGAAAGAAAGAGCCATACTTTCATGTTGTTTTCTTTTCATTGTTTTTTTGAGAGGTTTTTTCAATAGGACACGTGCACTCACCAGAAAGATAGAGAGAGACCGAGAGACAGAAAGTGAGAAATCATAGACAGAAACAGAGAGACAAAAAGTGAGAAATAACCCCCCGGGGTGGATGGCTGTGCCATAATCCCTTCTTTGCCATTCTCCTCTCGGGATCTTGGGCATGCATGCACATGCACCTGGCATGACCGGGTCTGAGACTCGAACCACAGTCAACTGTTTGGGAGTCCAGAGACATAGCCATTACGTCAACTACTCCCAATGTTAGCCTACTTTCAAAACAAGCACTGTGAAGTTAAGGTCAAAGCTAATAAAAAAAATGATGACATGTTAGGAGAGGAAGGGAGAAGGTAGCGGAGCACAGACATAGTTGGATACGAGCCTTCGCTGCATGTATTTCTATATCCCAGTGACTTACAATAACAGATTTGCTTCTCATTCACATTACTAGGTTGTCAGCCATCATGTGTCAACAATGGGGACTTTGGCTGAAAGAACAACACCTGACAAGGCTTGATATTCCTGTGGTAGAGGGGAAAGAAGAAAAGTATACCAAAATAGTATTAAAGGACCGAGAGTAATCACAGTGATCCAGAACTGTTCTCCCTGCTCAGGAAGGAACTTGACTATCACACAGTCACTGCAGGGAGAACATGATCATCTCACAGGAATGAGGGAAGGGCACAATACCTGAGCACCTACAAAGATCCACTGCATAAATGAACCTAGCTATTTATCAAATTGCTTGCAGAACAACCTTAAGAACAGGTTTATTCATGGGAATTTTAAATACGATATTTTTAACACATAGCCTTATTTTGAAGCATTTTATGAATAAATAAACATGCTTTAAATTGTATTCAATGGGGTTTTTTTGCAGAAATATTAGCACTGATATTTTGACGCAATGATTGGTATTATATTACGTAAATGGTGCTTGTAGCCAATGTCGTGAGAGAAACTTCTAATACTATAGAAATCAAGATTAAGAAATGAAGAGGCTGGCAGATGGCATGGTGATTAAGGGCACTAGACTCCCACATGGCCAACCACGGTTTGAGTCTTGGACCTAGCAGTTTCCTTTCTCACGTTCTCTCTCTCTCTCTCTCTCGCTTGCTCGCTCACTCTCTCTCTCTCACTCTGTGTCTCTCTGGTCAAATTAAAATTAATTAATTAATTAAATTTAAAAAAAATGATTAAGACATGAAGATGCTATGGGACCAGCAGAAGGCATGTTTACACCGCCAGACTCCCACATAGCCAACCGTGGTTTGAGTCCCAGAACCAGTAACTTAAACCTCTTGCTGGACATGCATGCATGTGTGCCCAAGATCCTGAGAAGAGAATGGAGGAGAAAGGATCATGGCATGGCCATCTCCCATGTGGGGTGATTTCTCTCTTTCTCTCTCTTTGTCCTTTTCTGTCTCTCTGGCAGCACACACATCCTATAGCAAACAATTTCTCTAAAAAAGAAAAAAAAGAAAGAAAGAAAGAGCCATACTTTCATGTTGTTTTCTTTTCATTGTTTTTTTGAGAGGTTTTTTCAATAGGACACGTGCACTCACCAGAAAGATAGAGAGAGACCGAGAGACAGAAAGTGAGAAATCATCCCCCAGAGGGATGGCCATGCCACAATCCCTTCTTCTCTTGGGATCTTGAGCATGCATGCACACGTGCCCAGTGTGAATTTTAAGCTGCCGGGTCCAGGACTCAAACCGTAGTCGGCTACATGGGAGTCCAGTAACATAGCCACAATGCCAACTGCTGGTCCCTTTTCTTTCTTTCTTTCTTTTTTTTAAAAAGCGGCTAATTTTAAAATTGTAGGATATAAGTAGTTTTAGAAACTTCCATAATTTATCATCTTCATTACTAATTATAAATGGATGAATGGGAGCCAGCAGGTGGCATGGCGGTTAAGGGAGCTGGACTCCCATACAGCCAAATGCGGTTCAAGTCTTGGACCTGGTGGCTTGCTTACTCACTTTCTCTCTCACGCTCTCTCTCTCTCTTTCTGTCCCTCTCTGGTCAAATTTAAATAAATAAATAAATAAATAAATAAATAAATAAATAAATAAATAAATAAATAAATAAATAAATAAATAAATAAATAAATAAATAAATAAATAAATAAATAAATAAATAAATAAATAAATAAATAAATAAATAAATAAATAAATAAATAAATAAATAAATAAATAAACAAACAAACTTAAAAAAATGGATGAATAAATAAGTTTAAGTGGTTTACCTGGAACTAAATTTGGAACTCTAATGATAACTTGTTAACTTAACCGCAAAATCCTATACAACAGATGATAAATGCAGTAGCAGCTTACTTGACTCCATGAAAGCATGAAATGGTTTTGGATGATGTGAAGAAGAGAGTGGCAACTTAACTGGATTTCAGATTGAGGATAAGGAACGATAAGACTCTCTCACTGAATCTTACCATGTGGCTTAGCACTATTGTAGACTGAAACATTTCATGTTGATTTAATTTGCCTTTAGTTGCAAAGCCAAGGACCTTTATCCCCCCTTTTTTTCTGCTACTCTTCCTTGCCATCCTTCCACTAAGGATAGCACAACAGCAACTCGATCCACACGTGTTAGCTAACTGCATAAATATACTCTACTTCTTTGTCTAAGTCAATGAAACCTCCTTAAGTAATTCCTGAGCAACATCAGCAATGATTGACAGTTACTATGTCCTCCTAGATCCTCTTGAGGGTCTATTGGAGGATCTTCCTCATGACAGAGTAGAAGAGGCCCAGTCTAATGTCAAGGTAAGGTCACTTTCTTTGCTGAAATACATTGCTTTGTCTTTTTCATGTTCAATTGAATTTATGCTTTAGAACCTGACAATGTGAGTCATGAATGGTATTTGCAATTTCCATGGTGGAGGGAGTGTCAATGGTAGTCTGTTAGCAACTGATACCTTAATCGAGAGAACATCTAAAACTGGCAGTATCAACTTAGAAACTATATGGTAAGGAGCCTATCCTCAGTACGAATATTCTTCTTGGGATTGAGAATTTTATCATTGCCAGCCAAAATGGACTTGAGAGATGCATCCTCCTGGAAAAGCAAAGACCTTTTCCAAGGTGTCCTCTGCACTTGTGTATTAGTTCATCACTGTGCTGCTAAACAGAAATACCTGAGACTAAGTGATTTATAAAGAACAAAGGCTTATTTGGCTCATGATTCTAGTGTCTGGAAAAAAGTCCAAAGGTGTGTAGCTGGGATCAGGCTAGCCTATGGTGCTGCATCAAAACACGGGTGAACAAAAGCAAAAGGGAACATAGGCAAGTGACAGGAAACAGAATTCTCCACTTCTTCTGTTTGCCCTTCACATACCCCCAGCTAATTGGGTGGTACCTTTTCACTAGGCCCTGCCTATTAAAAGTCTCACTAACTCTCAAAGTTATTATACTGGAGACCAAGTTTCCAGAACATGAACCTTTGGGGAACAAACCATTATCCAAACCATGGTCACTTTTGGGAGTTTTTGACTTGACCATGGTTTCCTATCTGATTTTCTAAAATCATCAAGAGAACAAAAAGCCTGTGTAAGCAGTGTATAGTATGATTTGATCCTCATCATGTTTTCTTTTCTGTAATTGCAGGCAGGCTCAAAGACAAGTAAAAATGGTATGTATTTTAGTTACTCACATGCTGAAGAAAAATTTGGATGAAAATAAAGTTAGGACTTTCCTACTGGTTTTAGTCTAAAGAGTCACTCTGATTCGAGGTTCCTACTGGGAATGAGGATTGGGGCAGACATGGTAGAAGGAACTGATTTTCCAGATAAGGAATATATGACCATGTTCTACAGTTCCTGGGAGCAGCTATGTTCCCTTGAAGTGTTGTGGATTTGTGTGCATGGGGCTTTAGAGCTGTCACATGTAAGTGTGAGTCTATGTGAATAAGAATGTGTGTCGGGATGTGTATGTTGGGAGTGTATGCACTTCCATGGCATGATTCCCCTGGTCAACTTTCTCAAAACCCTATCATTGCTATACATGCATACATTATCTCATTCATCCCTCACCAATGCTATGCCTTGGTATTTGTCTACCATCCCTAACCCTCAGAGAAAGAAACTGAAGTGCAGTGATGAATGGCCCAAGATCAGGAGCTCTTAAGTAGAAGAGCTAAAATGTGAACCTAGGTATGTGGCCATACTGCTGGTACTCTGAACTACACTTACTACTCAGCATGACTGATGGGATCCATTAGTCACTGAGCAAGGGTGTTCCAGCATCCATGTATATGCCTGTAAGTATTGTATTAAAGTCTCCAGAGATCCCAACACCATCCAGAATTATAAGATAGCCTCAGTGGTCACATAACCCAGGGCAGCTAAGGTGCACTTCCATAGCCTTTGGCATAGTCATTAGTGTAAAATGCACATAGAAAGCCCTCATGCTTCTGGTCAGATTCTGATAGGTGCAAGACACCATGTAGGACAACTGGCCCATCTTTTAGTGCTGAGTTCACTTTTTAGCCTCTGGTTCAAATCAGGGAGGCACTTTAGTGAATTTAATATTATTACCATTAGCCATAGAAGTGCTCAGATTACATGAGATGCCATAGAGCAGTGACACATTAAAAACTCAGTATACAGTTACTATCCTGAGCAGTTTCTTATTTCTTTTCCATTTCTCTCCTTTGTCGATACAAAGGAAAATGACCCCACAGTAGCTCAGTCCATGCTTATTAACCAACTATTGTCACACACTCTTACCTGTGTCCACACCAAGCAAAGCTCCCTGAGTAATTTGTGAGCTACACTTGCAATGCACTGACATGACACTCTGTGTCCTCCTAGTTCCCACTGAGGGCCTGGTCCTGGAGCTTCCACCTGACAAGGCAGAGGAGGAGGCCCCATCTAGTACCAAGGTAAGGTCTCCTTTACCTTGGCATTTCTGTGACTTTTCTATGAGGTAGAAATGTTTTCTTAGTTTATTTTTAGGGAAAAAAAAAGTTAAATGGAATTCACATAGGAAAATCTGAGCATGTACAGTGTAGATGATCTATTGTATATAATGTAGTTGGCAGAGAGAGCATTGAGTCTGTAACCAATGACACCAGATTCGAGAATACACCTGATTCACTTATACAGTGGTAAGATCTGTTCCCTTTGGAGTTTTTCTCTTCTTAGATTAAGGGAGGAAATTGAATTTTTATTTTTTTAGGTTTTTCCATAAGAGGTGTGCACTTGCCAGAGAGAGACAAAGAGAGAGAGTAAGGGGGAAAGTGAGAAATTACTCCCCCCCCCCCCCGCCCCGCAGCAAGGATGGCCATGACACAATCCCTTTTCCTCCATTCTCTGCCAGAGATTTTGGGCATGCATGCACATGTACCCAGAGTGATTTTCAAGCTGCTGGGTCTGGGACTCAAACCAGTCAGCCATGTGGGAGTCTAGCACTTTAACAATCATGCCACCTGCTGGTCCCAAAGGGAAAAGTTGAAGTTTGCAATGGCAATTAATATGAACTTGAGAGAGACATCCTTTCAGAAAAATCTGTTTCTTTTTCATTGGTATCCTCTACGTTTTCCTTCGCAGCTTTTGACTAGGCTACCTTTTCCCATGGTTTTCTTTCTTTTCTTCTCAAAAAAAATTTGCTATCGGATGCTTGCACTTGAGAGAAAGAGAAAAAGAAAGTGAGAAATCATCCTCCAAGAGGGATGGCCATACCACAATCCCTTCTCCGTGTTTGGGATTCTGGGCATGGATGCACACGCATCCCACATAATTTTTAAGTCACTGGGTCTTGGACTCAAACCCTATGAGATCTAGCACTTTAACCACCATGCTACCAGCTGGCCCTTGTTCTTTTTTTTTGGAGAGGTTTTTGCTATAGGTCACATGCACTTGCCAGAAAGACGTAGAGACAGAAAGTGTGAAGTCACCCCCCCAGGGGGGATGGCCACACCACAATCCCTTCTCCTCCATTCTCCTCTCGGGATCTTGGGCACGCATGCACATGCACCCGGCATGAGTTTAAGCCACCAGGTCCAGGACTCAAACCACGGTCAGCTACATGGGAGTCCAGCAACATAGCCATTATGCTAACTGCTGGTCCCAGCCCTTGTTCTTTTATTCATTTTTAAAAAAATTTTATTTTCGGGGCCAGCAGGTGGTGTGGTGGTTAAGGTGCTGGACTCCCACATAACCCATTACTGTTTGAGTCACAGAGTTGGAGGCTTGCTTTCTCACTTTCCCTCTCTATCTGTCTGTCTCTTTTTGGTGAGTGTACATATCCTATAATAAACTTAAAATTATAACAATAAAAATAATTTAAAAAAGTTAATTTTCTCCATGAAAGAGAGAGACAGAGAAAAGAGAAAGAGGAAGGGATACTCTCAACAGGGTTCCTATACTGCAATCTTATCCCCAGACTCGGCCAGGCAGGACCATGGACACCTATACATCCGTGGCATGCCTGGGGAGACTATAGGATGTGAATCCAAGACCCTTCCATATGGCCCCAGCACACTGAATTACCATTGCACCATCACCGCTGGCCAGCATCTGTTTTTTGTTTTTGTTTTGTTTTGCTTTCTTTTTATATTCTTGCTGTAGTGCATGCACTCACTAGAGAGAGAAAGGTGAGAGAGAGGGAAAGTGAGAAGTCACCCTCTAGGGAGACTGGCCATGCCACAGTTCCTTCTCCTCCCTTCTAGTCACAGGATCTTGGGCGTGCACACACACATGCCTTTCATGATTTTTAAGCTGCTAGGTCCAAAACTTGAACTGCACAGTCAACCATACAGAATCCAGTGCCTTAACCTCCATTCCATTTGCTGGCCTCCACCATCTGTTTTTCTAAGGTCAATGAGAAAGAAAAAGACCTGTACAAATAGGATAGAACATAATGCGATCCTCATTGTGATTTCTTTCCTGTGGTTGCAGGTTGCCTCAAGAGTAAGCAAAAATGGTATGTACTCTGGAATCACTCACTTGATGAGGAAAAATCTAGAGGATAAGAAGGTGGGGCTTTCTTACTAACTTCATCTAGAGAGTCATATTGATTCTGGGTTCCTGGTGGGAATTAGAGGTTGTGGATAAAAGGGAAGAAACTAATTTTCCAGGTAAAGAACTATGAAGACTTTACAAATGGTTTTGTTTCCTTTAGGTAGTAGGGATTTCTCTACCTGGTAGCAGGTTGTTCATGTGAATCTGTGATGTGATTCTGAGTGTGCGTGTGAATGCATGTGTGTCTCCCAAGACTGGTCTCCTCTAATAGTACAATTTCCAGTGCTGACTTCTAAATGAAAAATAAACAAACAAAACCATCATTGCTTCATGTGTACATATTATTATATAGAAATACTTGAGACTGAGTGATTTATAAAGAATAGAGGTTTATTGGGCTCATGATCTGGTAGCTGGAGAGTCCAAAAGCATGGGTGTAGCACCTGGCCAATCTCTGATACTAAGTCACAACATGGTCTAAAGGAATAGGCAAGTTACTGGCCAGTCTCATAGCCTTGCTGTTAAGGGAGCTGGATCCTACATCTCTGAGAAATTATCATGCTACGCTCTCTTCTCCATCCTCCTCTTGGGATGTTGGGCACGTGTGCACACACACCCGGTGTGTTTTTCAAGCTGCTGAGTCCAGAACTTGAACCACACAGTTGGCCAGGTAGGATCCAGTTGCCTTAACCACCATACCACCACCATGAACATTGCTTCTTTATCCTAAAACTCTCTAAAACTCTCTACTCATGACCAGATTATCTTAGAAATCCCTTATCTCCAGAGCATGTTTTTTCACTGATGCTGAAGGGGCCCCCTGCTCTATGTGATTAAAGATAAAAAATCAGTGTTACCAACATTGAGTCTCTAAGTATTCATGGATAACCACCCAATGGGTTCCATGAGACAGCAAACAGCAAACAGGACCTTAATCTAGACCATAACGTGTTACCAACATTGAGTCTCTAAGTATTCATGGATAACCACCCAATGGGTTCCATGAGACAGCAAACAGGACCTTAATCTGGACCATAACAGGGAAATAATTTAGAGGGGCAGAAGGGAGACATGAAGGACCTAGGCCATAGGTGGGTTGGGCAGATGGACTCCAAGTCTGCGAGATCAGTAAGATCGGTTCAACATCATCACCTAGAGCTCTCTTGAATGGCCTAGAGGACATCAGTTTTTGAGATGTTCTGAAAGATGTTGGAATTCACAGGCTCTCACTCTATCTCTGTCCTTCCACTAGTGGGTAGAGGGATCCTGGCTGTGGTTGGTCACTGTGAGTATAGAGACTATGTCTTCTTATCTCTGGGAGACTTGATACGGACCCCATAGACCTCTGATGAATATACTCCTTGGAGGGGTCTAGCTCAAGTGTAGAATGGTTCCTGCCTGGCTCTGATGCAGGATCAGTAGAGATGAGGACAGGACAGCAACATGCCACCTCCCCTCTGCCTCTACTACGGATGTTATCTAAATGGGGTTTGTGGGCCACACTCCTCATTGTGGGCTCTGCTGGGAATCCCTCTAGGCCTGGATGTTGTCCTTATTGATAGTGTCTTCAGAGCCTCACATAGTGTCTGGTCCTTGTGTGAATACCTAGGAAGTATCTATAAATGAATGACTGAATCAGGTCAGCAAAAAAAACTCTGTAAGGAAACAGTAGGGGAGGTCATATCTTCCTCATCGTGGGGCTCTAGGTCTGCACTATCCAGTGTGGGAGCCACTACCCAGATAATTTTATTTATACTTAAAGAAAGTAAATAAAATGAAACATTCAGAACTCATCATATTAGTCATATTTCAAGTGCCCAATAACCCAGTGTTTATAATGCTGGGAACATTTCCATCATCACAGAAGACCCTCTTGCACAGCTACTCTGAGTCTGTCATGCAGTCTGTTCACTGAATTCACTTAACTCAAAGCATGTGCATCAAAATTGGACTTTCAAGTTGATGAGATTAGAGGTAGAATCATAATGATCCAGTGGCCATGGAGAGGTAAGAAGTTGAAAAGTGATTCCCATAGATCCTCTCTCTCATTTGAAGGTTTGCAACTGTGAGCAATGCCTTATGGAAGGCCTCTGATCCAGAGCTCAGAGGAAAGAACGGAGTGATGTCTTGTAATCCAGCATGACCTCAACTGGAGTGGGAGGAATGGGCGAGCCACTCTCTAACAACTTTCTTGCTAATGTTTGTGTCTGTAAAGATTGGATTGTCGACAGAAGATATGATTCCAGCAGCGAAGATGAGGACATTCCAGGTACAAACATCTTTGAGGTAGGACCCAATAGGGGAGGGTTCCTAAGAGAAGCTGGGTTATGCCTGTTGCTTTGGAGACTGAGGCAGGGGGGCTATAAAATCAGAAAGACAAAGGAGATACGTGATATAGATAGAGAGACAGACAGACAATAGATAGGTAGATAGATAGTTAGATAGCCAGAGGGTGCATGTGCTCAGCACACAGACACACAGAGAGAAGGAAAAGGAGAAAGCAACTCCAATGGGGAATAGTCATGCTATAATCTCTTCTCTATTTCTCCATGTTGTTGAAATTTTGGGGCATGCATGCACATGCATCTGGTATGTTTTTCTTTCCTTTCTTTCTTTCTTTTCTTTTTTTTTTTTTTGAGAGATTTTTGCAATAGGGCACATGTGCTCACCAGAAAAAGAGAGAGACAGAGAGACAGAAAACAAGAAATCGCCCCCCCGCCAAGGGGGGATGGCCATGGCATAATCCCTTCTCTTGGGATTTTGGGCATGCATGCACATAGACCCAGTATGAGCTTTAAGCCACTGGGTCTGAAACTTGAACTGCAGTCAACTACATGGGAGTCCAGCAACAACCATTACACCATCTGCTAGTCCTCTGATGTGCTTTTCAAGCTTCCAGGACTGGGATTCAAACCACTCAATTGGCCATGTAAAACCTGACTCTCTTAACCACTAGGCCACAGGCTGTTCCTCATATTTTAATGACAGAAGAATAACTGCTATTACTGCTGTTGTTTTTTTCTTTTTTTTTCTTTTTTTTTTTTTTTAGGTTTTTGCTATAGGGTGCGTGTGCTTGCCAGAAAGACAGAGAGACAGAAAGCGAGAAATCATCCCCCATGGGGGATGGCCATGCCACAATCCCTTCTCCTCCTTTCTCCTCTCAGGATCTTGGGCACACACACATGTACTCCTGGTGTGAGTTTAAGCCACAGCGTTCGGGACTCGAACCATGGTCGACTACATGGGTGTCCAGCAACATAGCCATTATGCCAACTGCTGGTCCCTAACGCTATTGGTTTTAAGTATACCATTTATCACCTCTTTTCTTGCTTTGCAAGCTAAAGATTTTTTTTTTCTCATAAAACCTGTTCTTTCTTGCTTCTGTCAAACATCAAATCCTTTGGTTTTGAATGACTAGCCTCCCTTGGGAATCGTGCACGAGAGATTTTGATTGGGTTTTGGGTGCTGACCTACAATGGAAGGAACCTGGTAGTACGCAACTCTGTCACAGACACAAACATGAATTTGGAGACAGAGTTCCTTGAGCATGTGCCAGGTGGTGAGTGAGAAGCCCACCCTCCCCTTCTACACCTGCAGATTATGTGGTAGCACCTTTGTGTTCTGTCCTGACTGCCTACTCCTGGTTTAAAGGGCACTCCTGGGGTGAGTGAGTTCAATAATAGCTCTTTTGGGCTTCCTGCATATGCTCCCAGGTCCTTCTGGAGAAGAAGGGGGGGAAATATAATCGACATTTCTAGTCTCCACTTATCACCCAATTCCCAAATCCTGGGATTAGGAACAGAACATGAATTTGCTTCCATTTGGGAAGCCAGTGTCTGGCTGCCCCTCAAACCTCACAATGGAAGGGCAAGGACCCCAGAGGACATGTGAGCAGGGGCTGTTGGACTGACTGCACACAGCAGCTCTCATAATCCCGGCTGCCTTTATCTCCTAAAATCAACCAGTCCCAGGACAGAGCCTCTGGGCAACAAGGCTCGGGATTACTGCTCCTCTCAGATCTTCCTCCCAGTGCTCTACTGTCTCCACCCCAGTCATGCCCCTCCTGCTCCCCATCCTCAGGCTGCCAAGTGTCAGTCACTCCCAGTCTTTCTGCAGCTCAATTAAATCCTGACAGGTCCCATTTTATATGGCAATTAAGTCCTTTGCTGTAGAATCCTACTGTCTCACTTTCAACTAAGAGGATTTAGACAAGTGACTTTAATGTCCTATTATCCTCTACTCACTTCTGGGTTGCTATGGAGATCAGATGTCTCCCAAAAGTACGTTGGGTCATCTTAGGTCCAAAATCTCACTTGATATATGGAGTTGGGTGAAATTCTCTACTATTGGACCCAACAGAACCCCAAGTCCAAGGGAGGTGCTCCCAGGGCAGAATGGTTTGGTTAACTGGTCAACTGATTGATTAGAAAGGGTAGAAGTACCCCTTGATCTTTCCACTGACATTCTATTTTTTTTTTTTTTTTTAGGTTTTTACCATAGGGCACATGTGATCACAGGAGAGAGAAAGAAATAGAGAGATGGGAAGTGAGAAATCATCCCGAGTGGATAGCCACGCCACAATCCCTTCTCCTTCATTCTCCTCCTGGGATTTGGGTATGCACACACACGTGCCTGGCATAAGTTTCAAGTCACTAGGTCCAAGACTCAAACCCCAGTCAGCCTTGGAATCCAGCCTTAACCACTGCACCACCTGCTGGATCCTCCACCGACATTCTTATATTGCAGAAAAATATGATGGTAGAGGTTGACAAGAAGAAAGGAAACGGGCAAGAGCAAGGGGAGGTAAAAGATACGGGTGGCTCAGGCAGGGAAGTAGCGAAGGGAAGAGGATGTCATGCACATAGGGACAGTGGCTGCCTCTTGGACGAATGAGATGACACAAGCACCCATTCCTGGTCAGTTACAAAATTTAGCCTGGAAAGGGGGCCCTGGGGGGACCAGCAGTTAGCGTAATGGCTATGTCGATGGACTCCCATGTAGTCGACCACAGTTCGAGTCCCGGACCCAGTGGCTTAAACTCACGCCGGGCATGTGTGTGAGCGTGCCCAAGATCCCGAGAGGAGAATGGAGGAGAAGGGATTGTGGTGTGGCCATCCCCCCTGGGGGTGATTTCCTGCTTTCTGTCTCTCTCTGTCTGTCTGGTGAATGCATACGCCCTATAGCAAAAACTTCTCCAAAAAAAAAGAAAATAAAGGGGGCCCTGGAGGGGCTAGACTCATTCCTCACTGCAGAGGTGAAGTGACGGATGCCCTGATATAGGACTGCAGAAATGTGGAAGATTGAGCTATGTTAATTCCAGGAGCAGCAAGGGCCCATGTCCTCACCTTGATTCTAACCCAGTGCTTTCTTTTCCCAAGGCCACTCCATCACCATCACTGCTCTTGTGCATGCAGAAGCCTGTTTTACAGATTCTGAGGATTAGGATATGGAGACCACAATCCAGATGTAATTTATTTCCTATTTGTGTCTTGTTTTTTATTCTATTTTTTAAAGATTTATTTATTTAGTCATTTGTTTATGTATTTATTTTGTGTTTTTGCCATAGGGCACATGCCCTTGCCAGAGAGAGACAGAGAAAGAGAAAGCAATTTGAACCACTAGGTCCAGGACTTGAACCATGGTCGAGCATGTGAGAGTCCACCATGCAATCTGCTGGCCCTTTATTCTATTTTTTAATTCTATTTTTTTAAAAAATCCAGAATCTTTCTCTTTTTGATTCTCTTCTAAAAGGACCTGAATTCATCCAGAAAATTGATAAATGTACATCTTCAGTGTCTATAAAAACTGTCTCCTGCCTATCTCACCCAGTTTTTCAGCATTACCCGAGATTGTGGCCCCAAGTGTGCACCACTGAATCATACCAATGGTGTGATAATCTCAAATGGCGAGGCAGGGAGCAGGGCTGGGGGTCAGAGAGGTAGGCCTCACCCTGCTGGAGGGGGGCCCCTGTGAAGTCTGGTTCTGTACTGGATGCCCCTCTCACAGGGGTTTTCCTCCACTCTTCCTTGCAGCTATTGAGATTATGTAACTAGAAAACAACAGGAATCAGATTCCAGATCTTCTGGCCCTGGATTCAAGAGGAGTGCATCAAGGAAATAAAAGGAGATGAAGAACAGGAAGAGAAAAAGTGAGAGTGGAGAGGGTAGGTAGAACAGAAGGCAAATAAGTGCCCAGGAGCATTGCTTCCCTAACCTTATTTCCAGCACTTCAGGAAAACAGCAAAACCAGGAAGAACACTAGACTGACCACTATTACATAGGACCCTGCAAGGGAAGATAAGTGGATGGTTAAAACGATTGCAAGTGAGGAATGTCCTGAGAACAAATCCAGGGAACTTGATACCCGTTCCATATAAGCCTCCCAAGCTGCTAGGCTAAGCCCTCCAAGACCACTTTAACCAGGAGAGGCTGTAAATGTCTTTAGAGACACTTATGTGCCTGACTCCATTGGACAGAGCATACATTGCGTTCTTTTAAAAATGTTCCCGGGGTGGGTCAACATCCCATCCCTGCAGAACCCAATCCAGTCCCCCAGCCACCACAACTATCTCAAGGTGAACAGAGGGTATTATACTAATCAATTGATACAGTGAAATGGTGTATATTGGACTTGACCTCCCCCATGTCAGGTCTCCTGAGTGAAGGTTGCATCTCTCTGGGTTCCTAGTAGGCCCTACTATCAGGTGAGTGCCACTGGAAGATCCAAACTTGGATTGGGGTAAACAAACCCTGGGAGCTCCTCAGCCTCTGTGGAACCATGTAGAAGGGCTGGGGCCACCTCATGGCACCATTTCTAAAGGTTCTATCCATTTTTTTATACATATGTCAAATCCAAGTAAAACACAAACCTAAAGTAAATGCAATTTTACCACTGAACTTGGAATATATTGAGAGTGCAGGATTATAAATTACTTATATTTCTTTTATTTTCTAATGTTGTAAATTTTAAAAAGCAAATATAACTGGCCTAATTTCACTTTGAAATACAATGTCTTCTATAAACTTTTCTCACTAAAATATACTAAAGCCATAAACTTAACGGTTTTTTTCTCACTGCAGTGTTATTTTCCTTTACTTGTTTTTGCTTTGTTTTGTTTTAATTAAAAGGCATAGACAAAATTTGGTGGGTATTAGAAAGAATAATGATTATTAGGGGAAAAAAACAAAGCACTCTAGGTTTCAGTGACATTTGTATGAATGTGTGTGTGTATATATTTATATGTGTTTTATATATTATAAATTTATATTAT